GATCTAGTAGAACTCTTTAATTAAGATTGATTCAAAGATGAAGATGTTTTTTACCCTTCTTACCATAGCTCTCACTCTTATCGGAACCCAACTCATAATGGATTTTGTTAAATAATTTAATAGAAGTATGGAAAAAATCTGTAAAAACCTAATGTACTTTATTATTTTAAATGATTAAGGGTCTTATCCATTAAGGAACTCTTCTACACTTGCGTGACCATTATTTTTTGGTTGAGTTATTACCAATTGACTTTCTTGTAATCGTTCTTGACGTCCAACAACAACTTCACATCCATTACGTTTTTCATCACCAACACAACCATTTTTTTTTATTATTTTGGATATCCAACTCGCTTTGCGAGCCGACTAATCCCAGGGCAACCACCTGCTTTGCAGGTAGCCCAGAGTCACCGCATTTGAACCTTCGTGGCCACAAGGGGATTTTTGTTCAACACAACCATTTATAGTTGGTATGAGTAGCCTCGATAGAATATCAAAGGTATTGCCTTAATGTATAAGGGAAGCTACTCAAAAAACCAAGTCACCGTCGTTTCTTTAGCTTTTTTAGACTTACGCTAAAATTTGAGATGAAAAATCGAGTTATTCAAACTTAATTGAGATGAAAAACCGAGTGTAGCCGGAGACAGGGTCAACGGAGATAGGGGTGTGGCCTGGGGCATCGACGGGACGAAGATGAGGCAGATTTCGGGAGGGGGATGTGAAACAATTAGGTTTTTTTTTGTTGATTTTTCTCTTATTTTTTTAATTTAATTTTTAATTGTCTGGCAGGTAGAAGTCGTTTTTCTAAGTCAGAAGGACTTACGTAACATGTTTCAAAATGTTCAAGTATTTATTTTGTTTAAAAACTAAATCGTTTAAAATATGAAAACTCATTACGATTTTCTAGGCTTTTCCTATACTTATAAAATACTATTGATAAAATAAAGAAATTTTGTGAATCATCGTTTAAAGGTATCAAGTGTTGAATATAAACATATATTAACCATAGACTTGGGATCATGTGAGACCAAAGGTTTTTCGTGAGATCCGTAAGACCAATTCTCAATCCTTGGATTAGATCTACAATATGACAATCTGAACATTCATAAACGCCACGAGACTTCTCAATAATCACAAAATTGCCACCGTGCAATTTTAGACCATTAGATCATTAGCTTATAAGTTGACCAATAAACATAAATTGGTCTTATGGGTCTCACGAAAAACCCTTGGTCTCACGTGAACCAAACACTATTACCATATATCAAGAAATATAATTTACACATATGTTCCAATATCTACAAAAACTACATTACAAAATAGCTACCAGATTTTTCCATATAATCTCAATACAAAACTTGTATACATAACAAGTGTTCAAAAACTAAAGATAACACGTCATCAAATAATTTCATGTAACAATATATAAACTCTTCATAATTTTCCTTTTCCCTTATCATTTGGTTGTGTCCCACCTGTAGTGCACAATTTCAAAACAACAAAATTGAGGGTTAGACCTTGAGGTCTGATGAGAAATTCATAATTTTTTTTGAAGTATATAATATTTATATACGCCAAATGCAACAAATAAACTCACACACCCTCCTCACCTATGGTGAGGTTTGAACCCCTGATCTCCTAGAAGGTCAAGAGCTACGATACCGCCAGGCCAAAGGCCCTTTGGTGAGAAATCCATTTGTTGACTATTACAATCAACGACAACATGCCCAAGTATATAGAGCGCCGAAACTCATATTAAGTTTTAAGCATTTATAGCATAGAGTAGCAAGAAAGGTTGAGTGCCATTGTTCCAAAATGTAAAGACTATTTTCACGCTTTCCCCGAACGACCCGTCCCCTGATTAACAATTCTAAATAACAAAATATTGTTTAGAGAACAAAATATCAACAGAAAAATTAGGCCAAACAGCGGCAGTAACTCTAACTGTCCTAAGGTAGCGAAATTCCTTGTCACGCACAAGGAGGCCAAACCAACCCCACTGGACAGGGCCCTTCGCCTTCGGCCCATGAAATAGAGATGGCCCGGGGGGCGGGATACTGCAAGATGGGTAGTTTATCTGGGGGCTAATTTACTAATTGGGAGTAAATTGGATATCAGAGTTTAAGTATGTAGTACCAATATGTCAAATATGAAGAAAAAAAAAAAAACCCATTAACAACCATGACATTCTCACTTCCAAAATATGGTGTTGCTGAATCCAAATGAGAGGGGGATCGAGTCTGATGCACCTGTGTCCATAAAACTAGTCAGATTGGTCACCATTTATAGAGCAAGCAGCAGAGAAAGCTTCGACCAAGTGAGCCATGTTTTTCGACGTTGAAGGAAGGCGATTGTAACGTTGCTAACGTCTTTTGGTTCAACATATATGACAATGGGGCCATTTTCTACGACCACAACCTCTGCCCCCACCAAGAGCGTTGTGAGGAAAACTCTGTGAAGATCGAGAATGTGGTTGAGCAATAAAAGAAGCTATTGGGGGCAGTGTGGCAGCTAGGGATGCTCAAAAACCCGATCAACCCAACCCAACGCGAAATAACTTCACTCGAAACAACCCGATGTTTAATCGAGTTGTAAAATTGTCAAACCGTAGGTATTAGGTTGATATTGGGTTACTATTATTTGATCACAACCCAACTCGATGAACCCGATATTCTTTTATTTCTTAGATTTAATATAATTGTTGATTTTTTATTAATATATACATTAGACAATTACACTATCATGTATGCTTTTCATATACACATATTTTCAATCTATTCACATCTCTATATAACTCATTCGTATATATGTTCAGTAACTGTGAACATATATGTAAATTGAGAAAATTAACTGAATGTAATATACGTAAGAAATATATATATATAAGTTGTATCAAATGGTTGATGATGAAAAAGAAACTATGAATAGAGAAATAACATATTCAAGGTTAGAATAATATTTTAATGTATCAAAGTATCAAGCCACCAACCCGACCAACCTGTACGGGTTGGGTTAAGATTTTTTCAAACCACAAGCATTGGGTTGGAATGTTCAAATGTCTTCAACCCGATCTACACAACCCATGAGCACCCCTGGTGGCAGCGGTTATAGTCTACATGAATATCTCAAAACTTTCTAATTGGGGAAGAAGAGTCTGAAAAGTGGGCAACAGGGCTGTGTTCATGGCAGCGACAGAGAAACCGGAAAATTCGATACCCAGACCGTGGAGAAACCAATGAGATTTCTCCGATTCCGGCACTGAACGACACATGGCAGTAGGTTGATTACAGTGGCGTTCGAAATTACGTCGAAATTCGAAGATAGTGTGATCCTTTCTGTAGTTTGGAGAGAGATGATTCAAAGATTCATGGCACGATGTCTTACCAAAAGCAGCTTCAAAGGCTGTCCAAACGGCCGCCGATGTGGTGCAACCTAACACCATAGACATGGCTTCCTCTACGAGTGAGGATTGGAATGAAGAACAATGCGAATATATTATTTTACATTAAATGCTATTTTTTTGTTTATTTATATTTTAAAAAAAAATTCCATTCCAATTCTTTTGTAAACCAAACAAATAAATTTCAATTCATTTGATCGATTATATTTTAAAAATTTAATAACATTTCATTTCAATTCCATGATCAAACATGACAACATTCAATTTCAATTTCTTCAAGATTCTAATTTCGTTGACACATATTTCATTTCTTAAAAAAATAAATACAAAATTAGAAAAAAAAAACCAAACTCATTAGTTCTATTAGGAGACAACCTCTGAATTGTTAAAAGATAAATCTTTTTGGCAAATTTTTTTTTATCTTTTAATGATTTTAAAACCATTTGAATGATTTTGTATCATGGATATTCTTTAACTATTAAGAGCCTTAATTTTATTGTATACAATTATCAAACAATTAGATTTTATTTTACATATATCACGAGACCCTCTAGATCATTCTAAGGGCATCTCCAATGGGGTGCCATGGAGAGTGTAATGGGAACCATGACACCCCTCATGCATTGTGAAGAGGGTCATGGAGAGTGTAATGGGAGGGGAGTTCAATGGGGATGACA